CCGCTTCGCTCTATCACCTTCCTACCGATGAGTGGCTGCGGCTTGCTGGTCCATGCTCTTTGGTGCTTTGCTTCCACTGCCCTACTTTTTTTTTTTGAAGTGAAACTTCTTATGGCACGTTGTGAATTTTTTCGAGCGACACGAAATTTCTGAGCCCCCCACCACTCCAGCCGCTTTCTCACTCTTTCTGCCTCGTCCCCCTTGCCACCAGAGCAGTGCATATACGCGTAGAGTGGGACGTGGGACGGCCTTTCTCTCTGCCTCGCTCCCCTTGCTACTACATGCTCGAATTTTTACGTACATATATATGTGTGTGTGTGTGTGTGTGTGTGTGTGTGTGTGTGTGTGTGTGTGTGTGTGTGTGTGTGTGTGTGTGTGTGTGTGTGTGTGTGTGTGTGTGTGTGTGTGTGTGTGTGTGTGTGTGTGTGTGTGTGTGTGTGTGTGTGTGTGTGTGTGTGTGTGTGTGTGTGTGTGTGTGTGTGTGTGTGTGTGTGTGTGTGTGTGTGTGTGTGTGTGTGTGTGTGTGTGTGTGTGTAATGAGGTATTATTTGTTATTAAATAACCTCAAATTCGTATTTTAGTTGTACTTTTCTGACATTTGAGTTATAAATTGCAAAAAAATTATAGTATACCTTAAAAATTAATAGAGATGCCCACAAATTAATTTTAGGTGTTTTTATAACAATATAATCTCATAAAATAAGAAAAATCGTCATATCTCGACGAAGAAGCAAAATAGGCCAAAAATACCGATTTTTTACGGGTATCCTAAAGGGAAAATAAAATATCGAGAAGCACAAATAGAGGTGTCATTTGTTGTGATTACATAACCTCAAATTCGTATTTTCGCTTTATCTTTATGAAATTAGAGTAATAAATTAAGAATAAATCACAGTATACTTTAAACATTATTAATACAGATATGCGCGAAGAAAATTTAAACTGTTTTCATGACATCATAACCTCATAAAATATGAAAAATTGTCATATCTCGATGGACAAGCAAAATAGGCCATAAATACCGATTTCTTACGGGTATCGTACAGGGGAAATAAAATATTGAGATGCAAAAATTGAGGTATCATTTGTTATGATTACATAACCTTAAATTCGTATTTGCGGTCTATCTTTATGAAATTGGAGTTATAAATTACAAAAAAAATTGCAGTATACTTTAAATATCAATGCAGATGTGCGCAAAGAAGTTTAAAGTGTTTTCATGACAACATAACCTTAAAAAATTATAAAAAACACCATATCTCGAAGGAGAAGCAACATAAGTCGAAAATACCAATTTTCATGGGTTTTTGAAAGGGGAAAAAACAATCGAAGCGTACAATTCAGTTTGATGAAAACATGATTTTTAGCCATTTCAAATACGAAATTTTTTTTACTTGTTTAATGTTATTGAAAGAAATTTACTTATTTAACTCGTAGCAATAACACATATGATTGCTTCTCATATAATTTTCTGTATAAAATGAGTTCAATATTTGATACTTGAAGTTTCACTTCTATCATGGGTCCCATGACCCATTTTTTATACGTCTGTTGCCTGTCCTCTAAGATTGTAGTATACTTTGACTTCCGCGACTCGCGAGTACCTTATA